CTAACATCTTAAACCTACTGCCAAACCAAACAAATAATTAATGATTATTCAAGGCATAACGTCCTCGGTAACTGCCATCTACTTAACCCCACATACTTTCTCTAAAGCCGAACTCACTCCTTTGATCATCGTCTTTCAAAGAAATTCTGGATGAATCAAACATCAGGAGTCTTATCATATTCGCGAGCTACATGGTATTTCAATCAAATTAAACTCATCATTCGTTCAACCTGTCTACCATACACCCATAGGTTCTCAATATTACTAATTTAAAGTCCATCTGGCGGTTAACATTTCCTGATCTTTCCTTGCCTTTGTGGGCCCGGGGGCNAATAACTTCATGTACCTAGATCAAAATTTACCCAGAGTGGACCTTTTCCCAGCAAAACGTACATAAAGTAGATAAGAAAAAAATTGTAGGTGGTAATGCTGTGAAGGATTATGTATTATTGCATCAAAATGCATGAAACCCGCCTATTTTGGGCATTACTGTCATATTGACCATTATAGGAAAATTATCTTATGACTGAATTGAATATACAGGAGGAAAATCCAGCTTCAATTGGAGAAAAAGCCTGTTTGTGTTTTCTAGAAATATTGCATTTTGCAGTAAAAAAACTTTGCAACTACAAATTTTGGCATTTCCAGTGTGAGCTTAAAGCCCTTAGGAAATTTGTAGATACTTATTACTTAAAGTAGATAAATAAAAATTGATGGGGATTATGTTGTATATCACTTCATATTTTTGATTTTCTGTTTCTTTCAAATGGATGTATATATAATAGGTGTTAATTCATTTAAAAAAAAAGGGTCAGAGAGCAGTTACAATTAACAGAATCTAATTAATTGATTTTAATCAGAATCCAACAGTGCATTTGTTTGTGAAAAGTATGCAATCATAACAACCATCAGTTAATCAAAGATCCCATAGGTGTTGAATATCCAGAAGACACAGACGGTATGTTTTTTTTCCCTTTTAGAGTTCTATCCATATACCCTAGGTTCTAGATTCCGGTATTGCCAGCTCGATCTTGATTTCATATATAACCCATATCAACAATACCGGTAAAGCGACTCCATCACAAGGTATATTTAAGCTAGTTAGCTTTTACGTTGCTCTGACACTCAGGGTATATCCATATAGAACTGTGTGCTTGGCCTTCTGGCTGTTTTATGGTATTAGAATATATGATGAATATGCATTTTTAGATGCATCTTTAACTCTATGGAATAAACGTTTATAATGTGTGTCTCAAATACTTTTCTGTTTGTTAGCTTGTTAACTTGTTTGTGAGAAAGAAATCCCAGGTCTTCACAAAATTTGAACCATTTTACCACACCAAATTTTATACATGCAATTCATTGATTTCGTGTACACCTGCGGATAACAGTTAGCCATTGTCAGTTTAACCGTCCTATAACCACAATACTTATTGGACTGATCCAGTCATAACATATAAACAATGACATGAATTCAGTAGGTAGTAAATTCCAATGGTAGTCAGAAAGATACAAAAATTCTTTTAAGAAAACGCGATTTGTGCTGTGTATGCTGTCTGCATTTTGGACTGAAATTTTATTGGCCTTAGAACATGTTACATATGAATATGTGTGGGTGCTCTTTAAAGCGCAACACAATCTATGACCTTAAATATGTAGATTCATAATAATTTGTCTAGGTATTGATTATAGTTTTATCAGGGTTTAAACCCACTTATGATGGCTAAAGCATTTAGAACTAAAGCAACATTTGTTTTTGACCTAGAATGATGTCCCCTTGCTATTGCCAAAGCATAATTCTTATTTGGCCAGATATTTAAAGGAATAAAGTTTTAGAGGAGAATTAATACAGGAGAGAGCTGACAATTTTACAAATATAGGCCACATTCAGAATAGTGGACTAATGATGTTTCAAAAATGTTACCTTCCTTTCCCAATATATTATACACCATCGAGAGATGCACTGGTTTAGAACTTTCAATACTTTAAAAGTACAATGCATACACAACTGTTCAATAATAATGGCAACTAGAAGAGCACTAAGAGACCGCAGACCTCCACTACGGCAGCAGTGTCCATCCTGTGCCGTTTCACCCCTAAATTTTCATTTTATAATGATTTAGTTTTTTATAATTGATTGATTATTGATCCAGACCACCACCAAAAACTAACCATCTGTTCCTTGGCCCACTTCTGACAGTTCCAGAAAATTTCATCAAAATCGGTCTATAACTAAGTTTTTTGATTACTGATTTGACACTAAATTAGACAAAAAAAAAGAAAAAAAACATACATACATATATTAATAAGTTAATTAACATAAATAAAATAGTAATGATAAATAAGCAGATAATAATAGCAAAAGTACTAAAGGTAACTTTATAGAGTTATGTTAGTGTAATTTGTGTTTTAACACTGCCTCTATTTTCCTGCGTAGGTTTGAGGCTAGAAGGCTAGTGCCTTCATGTGATAGATGGTAGCCATCTGGAGCTAAAAGGTGTTCTAGCTTGTATCATGCCTCTTCTTAAAAAGTTACCATTGTCACAATAGTGTAGGTTGGCAATGCCTGAGGCTAAGATATCGTGTCTGATTATATGGATATGTTTTGTATGAGAGTTACCAATCACATAAACATTAACTTTGGTTGATTGTTGCAGAATGGGCTGGTCTTTTGGTTTCTGTGAATAAGATCTTTACTAGTTTCTAGAGTTCCTTTTTGGTGAATTTTGCTGTTATGCATATATATATATATATATATATATATATATATATGCCAATTGTAAACCAAACATGGCTCCCACGCTAGGTTGCCGATCTAGAAAACTCAGCTTTTACTTACTCAATTCATTGAAACATCGCTATCAAAGGTCCTAATGTATGTAATGTGGTCCAAGATATCCAATTATTATGGTAATTTGTCGAAAACATCGAGTATTTGTAGTTTAGAGTGAGGTTTTCGCCGAGCAAATTCTGGTTTTCGCGGTTTTCGTATTTTAGGTGGACCCTAAAATTAGGCATCCTATATATGCGTCCATTAAATGCTTGCCAGAGGGTAACAAAGCATAATACTCCAATTACAAAAGCCTATTAACATAAAAAAAATCGGCTCTCACCATGCAGTCATATAATAGCTTAACATATGCTGTTACAGTTTTTTAAAACAAAATGATTTATTAATACATAAGTTTCAAATCCCCCCCCCCCCACCCCAGCTGATCAAGGGATCAGAAACCATTTAACTGACAAAGCTTGGTCCTTTGGACACAGGCCGTTAACCAGCAGTGAATATTTAAGCACAGCGCTATTAAACAATGCCTACACCAAAAGTAACGATATCATTTTGGAACGGTAAATCAGCAAACTAACCCCAATCCAATTTGATGTCCAAATAGCAAGCCACCGACTTCATCTAGAATGGCGGCATATTATACGCCCCACCTTTTATAATTATGTGTTACGTCATTGTAACTTTATTTATCGTCATCTATCAGTTTCCAACCTAGGGCCTACCCTCTACCAGGGTGGCAGATGATATAGGGAAAAATGGGAAAATCCAGAGATAGTTAAATGACCTTCTATTTATCTAAAGACATATCTGTGAATATCCTGTGAAAAGTCAATCTGTGGCCCTGTGGCCGCGGGGATAGATCGATCTAAAATCTATGGGAATAGAGCCTTGGTTATAAACCCTCCTTGTCACACTTTGACCCCTGTATGATAGGGGCCTACCAATTAAAAACTGATGCCCTAACATCTTAAACCTACCGCCAAACCAAACAAATAATTAATGATTATTCAACACATAACGTCCTCGGTAACTGCCATCTACTTAACCCCACATACTTTCTCTAAAGCCGAACTCACTCCTTTGATCATCGTCTTTCAAAGAAATTCTGGATGAATCAAACATCAGGAGTCTTATCATATTCGCGAGCTACATGGTATTTCAATCAAATTAAACTCATCATTCGTTCAACCTGTCTACCATACACCCATAGGTTCTCAATATTACTAATTTAAAGTCCATCTGGCAGTTTACATTTCCTGATCTTTCCTTGCCTTTGTGGGCCCATAGCCACATCTCAGTGGCAGGTGGGCTGCGTATAGGGGTCCACACATTCTACAATTCTTTGTTTTTGTATTATATGTATAATTAGTGCAGGTCGCTCGTTTAGATAGAAGACTTTTGCTTGCCTAGCTTGTATCTGTAATAAAAAGTACAAGTGTTGATAATTGATAGCCAGTATTGAGTAATAGAAATAACAGTAGGGATAAAAAATGAACACGATAGAAAGCAGTACAGTCACCATTGTAAAAGAACAAATAAGCGCATGTCTATGGGCATAAGACAAAAACAGTTCATAAAAATACTAGACACTTAAAAAAAGGACTTTATAGAAACAATGGATATTTCAACAAATATAATTCTGGTTTTATTTTTACGTAATCTTCAAAACCTAGCACGCTCTTTTAACGTCCCTTTTTACATCTAGCACATGGTACAATGTACGCATCCTAGTAGTTTTCTCATTCATTCTTATTTTGGTATACTTGGAACTGACAAAATGTACGTAGGCCTTTGAAAACGTAACGCGCACCTCATATTAGCCTGCTAGCGCAGTCTGTAGCGCAGTCTATAAAAAAAGTAAATTACATGCACTAGTAGCTTTACTTTATGCAAAAATGACTTAAGGATATTTTCAAGAACGTTTAGTATACGTTAAAAGACAATTACACTAAATGTGAAGGTACTTAATTAAATGTTCCATTGAAACAGCGTTGTGTTAGCAGTGCTGAGTTCCAGCAAAAGTTAATCAAAAAGAAAAATATATATATATAACAATAAAAAAGAAAGAATATAAAATTGTCTTTAATGTAACAATTATATTCTCAATTAATGTCAAAACGAAAAATCTAATGATATAAAAACTTTGACGCAGGTAAGACTGCGGCGCGCTTCACATGACCGGATGTAGCAGTTATGTATGCACTGCGGACCTTCCTTGACCTACATACATTGTTCATCGTAGCAGCGGGAACACATTACGCGTTATGAAATAACGTTATTCCAAGGACAGGATATATATATACGAGTTTCCGTATAAAGCAATAGGACATTATACGATTCCTGCATACTTTTTGTGCGTGCAAAGACATTGATGACAGAAAGGTGAGTACTTTGTTGGAATGATCTGGTACCGGAAGTCAGGAGTGATGAAAGCGAGAGTTGGGCGGGGTTGTGAAGAGAAAGAACGAGAGAGAGAAAAGAAGAAGGAGCTGCAGAGACGAGAGCTAGATGATAGACCAAGGGATCCGGTGTCACGTGTACGGTTTATTCTGCGTGAACCATCCGTCCTGACAGATTGGACACGTAGCAAACACGTGTATGAATAATGAACCTTTCCGTGTTGTTATTCACCTGTGCATTGACGTGGCTTGTTCGTTTCCCACCTCATTATATATTTACTATAGTGGGGATATTTCTAGCTAAAATTCATCTGTTAATACAGAATTTTTAATTGATAATTTTGATACAGAATCAGTGTCAAATTACAGTTCAATGATGTACAATTGGTTTCCTGGAAACATATGCACAGTAAAACACAAAAAGGACTAGCAGAGTCAAGTAGCATATAAGGTGTCTGTGACCCCATTCACATAGATTTTAGATCGACCTATTCCTGTGGGGAATCTCACTAGATTACTGTCAGCTTAGCCGGCTTAAGCGTCTATCCTGCCTACAACAAGCTGTAAGTGGGCAATTAACTATGGTGCACGCTAGGCTGACTGCAATTTAGCGTGAACCCACAAGGACTTAGGTCGATCTGAATCTCTGGGAATGCACCCTATGTTGTCCTTGGCCTACGATAAATGTTATTTGTGGGGATTATTTGCACTGTTCACCTTAGCACGAAAATTTATGCATTAGCACTCCTATTGACGATTCTGATATGTACTGGCTGTGCAATACATATTGCTGTGCAGTACATATCAGATTCATCAGTAGGAGTGCTAATGCATAAATTTTTGTGCTATGTTCACCTCACCTATCTTGTGCATTTATCTCTGTCTATTAGTCATAGCCCTCCAACTGGAGTGTAGTAATGGCTTTGCATGTGAGGAATTCATAAGTATGTAGCCAAGTAAAACAACACATTACTATGTACCATTCTTTGCATTGAATATAGAGTTCTGCCTCATTTTGAGGCATGCCAGATCACTAACATTCACAATTACAACAAATGTCTCTCAAAATTTAGTTTACAGCGCCACTCTAAAATGAATAGAATGCAAAGTATGTTTGTTTTTCATTCATCGATTACGCAACATTCATCCCAAATGAACCTATATAGCTTTCTGCACATGTAGTTTGGTGACCTTAGACATCTGTAGGTGTACATTCAGACAGTTGTCACCAGTTTTGAGGTGCAGTTTTGTGCAGTACATATTTTCAGTGACTATCACTGCATTTATTCAATGAAACTGATATCATTGGTTATTCAAAGTCTGTTTTTTTCATCAAGTCATGGCAAAATATCAGATGCATGTTAGTAATTTCTTGAAAGTACTAATAACTGTGAATACATGGAAGCTGCCAAGTTTGACTTTGTCCTGGATCACAGCCAGTTTAGACACAATATATTTACTTGTACTAGTAACACACTAGTTGTGATATTTGCTGCCTTTAAAGCAGTTATTTTCCAAAAATTTTGTTTAAAGAAATAACTTTCTAAATTTGCTGGGTGGTCCACAGACTGTAAGAGATTATTAATAAAAAACAAACTTTTTAGAAAAAAAAGGGACTGACTTTGAATGTAGGAATTGATTCATTAACCATTGGTAAGTATGGGAAAATTGTTGTTTACTCCAAGAAAATTCATTTTTTGGCCAAAATGAACAGTTATTATCCCTTAAATCAGCAGTGGTCAAGCTCACACATATGGTTCGTTATATATAGTGCAGGCCTTGCGTCTCTGTAGTGGCCTGCTTGATGTGGTCAGTTTGGGATGATATGTATTTGACCCAAGCAGTGGTCATTACCCACCGTCACCCATCACCATGCCAAAAACACCTTGCAGGTAAAACACAAAATACACCCTTAGTTTTGTTTTAGAAGTCATGTAACATCAGATTATCGTCTTCTACCCTTCCCCTGTAAGATCAACGAACCAGATATCGTATTTTGTTTTTCCTTAAAATTCTAAATATTTTTTTCAATTTTCCCATGTTACTCCTCATAAAATGTACTTCAACAAGGAAACATAGGCAAATTTAACTTTGATCAGTCTGAGATTGTGACAGTTTTAGCAGTCACAATTGTGTCCAGTAGCCTCCAAAAGACATTTTAAACTAGTCTCAGTTCCTTCACCCAGACGAGTCATGATTGCCTGAAGAGCTTGAGGACAGGCAAGGTTATGTGAGAATACAATAAATAGAAATAAATCGCATGTAAATTTGTGGAAATAAAATATTTAGTTCGGACCAGCACAGAATTAGGAGGACCTGCAGATTTCTTGTAAATGTACCATGAAAATCTGACTCCCCTAAAAGGTGACTTTCCAGTAATATTTTCATCATTTCATATTATGCATACTGCAAAATAAAAGTCATATACTCAAATCAAATAAGTTTTATGAAGTTTTGTGGGGGGGGGGAGTCAAATTTTCATGGGAGAGTCAAATTTTCATGGGAGTCGGATTATCATGTTACACAGTTCCTCTAGACCTTCAGTACCTCAAAGTTTTCTCCTTGTCTGGTCACCAGAAGTCTGATGACTGCAATATTAGGTTGGCATTTGGCAGTGAAAATTGCAGTACACCGCAGTTTTAATATGTTGCTGGCTCCTGTCAAAGTTCTATCTTTTTAATAAAATAATTGGTGTCACTTCATTAATATAATCTTTTGTCTCTTTTTCCAGCTCCAGTCTCCATACAGCATGGTGTCTTCTAGGTGAACAGACTTTACCCGACTGAACAAGGGGAGCATGTATTTTTAATATGAATGAGACAGGAAATAGCAGCTGCAGGAATATCCCTTCATCTTACACAGTTGTGGAAGCCAGCAAGTTTCAGGATGAATGGGTTGTGAAGATAATCAGGTAACTGGACATCTTGTTGGTAGTACACAAAATCAGCTCTTAGCTTTGTGTTACAGGTAACAGTGGGCTGATTGGTTTTCTCTCTTTCCTCTGTGGAGACACAATACCAATTTTCACAATTTTTGGATTTGTCTTATTTTAATGTAACTTGAAAAGCATTGGTTTTTATAATAATCCACACTTTTTTTATTAAAAAAAACTTCATATCATAATGAGCATTGTAGCTTTATAGTCATTTTTGCCATTTTTTATTCACATCTTTCATTTGTTAACAGTGCATTTATTTAATTTAGACCATTAATCTTATATGCACAAAACATGTACAATATGAATACTTCTATTAAAATATTGTCCATGTGCATTTTACTCTTCATATATAATGGCTGGAGGACATGTTCCTTTGTTGGCTGAAGTACTGGATAATTATATTACTTATAAACTTCTGAGCATCAGTGGGCAAGTGGTTGAATGTCTTGTTTAATGAATGATTATTTTTCTAGTTCCACATACACAGTTTGACAGTTTGTGTACATTGCCTTGGTAGTGGCCTGCTTGATGTGGTCAGTTTGGGATGAAATGGAGCAGTGGTCATTAGTTCCCACGGATGACCGGTTGCCATGACAGTAAATGGACTACTTACAGGTATTACACAAAAAATGGTTGATATTGTTTTACTAGTTATGTGACAATGGATTATATCTTATCTGTAGAGAATGAAACTGATTATCATATTTTTTGTTTTCTTTACATAGAGTAATTTGTCATGATAAGAATTTTTATTAGTAATTTCCTTAGTGACTCCTCTCAAATTGCTCCTCAGAAAATGTCCTCCAATTTATCACAGCCAATTGACATACTTATCCCAGATTTTTACAGTGTGCAAATTTCACAAAAATTTCAACAGATTTGGCAGAGTTCTGCTTATATAATTGTGTTCAATCTGAGTTTGTGCTGGTTTCTGCAGTCACTATTGTGCCCAGCAGCTTTCAAAAGGCAAGGTCATTTTTAACTTATCACAGGTCACTCACCACAACACTGATGTCTACCATATAAGGTGGCCACTTGGCAGTTTACCATAGTTTTAATATTTTCCCAACTGGCTCTGGTGGACTGTCAGGTTTTTGTCTTTTTATGAAAATATTTGCGTTCTTTCACATAAATATTGTCATTTCTCATTTTACAGCCCCAGCATGCATGCAACATTGTGTTTTTGCCTTGTTGAACATGCGTGGAATGTATTTTATATGAAGTAGACAGGAAATGGCAGTTGCAAGAAAAGCTCTTCATCTCACCCAGATATGCAACACAGCAAGTTTCAGGATGAATGATTTGTGAAGAGCCATAGTAAACAGGTAACTGGACTTGTTGCAGGTAGCTCACAAAATGAACCTCTGGTTTATGTTTAGAAGTAAGAATAGGTTATTGGTTTTCTGTCTTTCCTCTGTAGAGAAACAAACATCAATAGTCAGGTGAATCATTAATAAAATAAATGATTCACTGCTTTAATTGTAATGTGAATTTAAGTTTTATAGTCATTAAGTACTTAAGTATTTGGTCCACACCCCTCATTTGTTAATAATTCATTTGAACCAATTCATCTGTACGCACAAAACATATAAAATGAATACTTGTAATATATATTTAATATATTTACCTATATTGTTCATGTGTAAGTAACTTTTTATACGTAGTGGCTAAAGGAACTCCATGTTTTATTATTTGGGTAAACAGGAATGTTAACAGATCTGTAAAGGCGCATTCAGAACAGTGGACTAAAAGATCCGCGTATCAAATATGGACGACCCACTAGAATGCCTGTTGTGTAACACCCGCAGGGAATCTATTCAGTGTCTAATCGGGAATTAAGTGGCAAGCTTTTTAGTGGGTCGCCATATTTAATCCTAGGATCTGTTAGTCCTATGTTCTGAATGCGCTCTAACACTAACACCTAACACTTAACATACCTGGAATTCTGACCTCACCCTGCGTACCGTAGCCTATGAACAGGGATTACCATAGTGATCTTCAACTGTTGCTTACATGTTCAATTTATTTATGCTTTTCCAAATAAATAAAAAAACGTTTTTGTTCTAACAATCACATGTAAATTGATATTGCTTTATGAGCAGTATCAAGATATATCAAGTATGGTGAAATAAAATAAAAAGCATCCTATATTTGAATAAGGTATCATTAAAGGGTTCCTAGTAATAATTTGCACTATGATGTACGAAGGATACTTAAGGAAATTACAGATATTATCCAGTAACATTACAAACAGTAACACTCATTTCATTTATATTTTTAGCAAATTCACTTCTGAAATTGTGTAAAGAGCAGCATGCAGACCAAGAGGTCTGTTTTACACTGAGTGAGAGTGCTACCAAAACCACCCAGAACAAGACTTCCAAACACAGCAGATCCTGTGGAGCCAGTTATATGGAACAGTACAGTTGCACAACAAATGTGGGTTCCAGGTAACACAGAATCAAATTCCCCCATATACATGGAAACTATTCTAGTAGAGGCAGCATATACAGCTAGGAGATTGTGTTGGACAATACTCCATCACTGAAGGCAAATACACACAATGAACATGTTAAAATGTGAATTGATATTTAAGTTCAGTTATAATTTGTTATAATAACTTTCCCCGCATGTATGGAAACTGGTATATTACAAGTAGAGGCAGCATATACAGCTAGATTGTGGTAGACTATTAGCCATCTCTGAAGGGAAAAAGACATCATTTAGGTGTGAATATATATTTCAGCTCAAATATGATATGTTATAGATGATCTCTGTTAGTGTTTGGTCATGATTTGCAATTGCAAATTTAATCGCATTTATTATATACAGACACTTTTGGTCTGTCTATATTTTGATCATGGTATCTGTCCAGTGTCATCACCATATAGCACTTTGTGACTCATCTGTTGTTTACCCTATAACTGATAAACTGTATTTTTGTTGGAATTTTAATTTCTCTAGAAAATCAACATCATTGGATTATTTTATGATATCGTTTTGGTATCTTTAGCAGTTTGGACATGCTGCTACAGTATGTCCAGAGCATAACAAATTGAAGTAGCAATGTGGATATGTTTGTATTTTCGTCTGACGTTTTGTTTATGATTCTGATATTTTATCCAGTTACTAAATATCACCATTTTGTGAATTAATGAAATTATCAAAAGTTCATTGTCAAGTGATTTGTCTGGTGCATGGCAGGTTACTTCATCTGATAGTCTAATGATGCCAGGGTCCAGTGGTTCAAAATGTTGTATAGTCTGAGGCTCAGTGCTTGTAAAATCTGAAAGTACAATAGTGAATGGTGTAATATAGCGATTATAGGATCTGTGGAGGGCATTAATGTTTTTAATGACTGGCCTTTACTCCATTATGCCCCAGCATGGGTCAGGTGTTATTTAATGGCTCTAATTTCATTGTTTCTTGAGCTCAAACATTTGGTTTTATGGTCTTGTTGCCTGCTGCTGTAAACATAAATAGTTATGTCATCACACTCAAGGTATATTTAACAAGATAAAAAACAGTAATTCCTTTCAATGAAGTATTTTATTTGTCGGAATTATATGACATACATATTTGCATTCCCCAGTAATGTAGGAGCATCTGTAATTTCTAAGACTGTATTAATGTCTTTAACAGCAACAAATCTGTTTGCGATTTTTGCTATGATGCTTTCAGCTTTAATGATAGATTTTTGCACATTTTACAGCTATGCACGTTCATGTAGTAGTTAAATATATTTATTTCTGTGACAGTACCGATATCATTACAAAGCATACAAAGCCTATCTTCCAACTTCTCATTTGCAAATTGAACATCTCCACCGCTGAATTCACAAAAAAATAATCTTTAGTTTTGGCTAACTATTCAAAAGGCAAGGGATATAAAAATATTATCCATGCCTAATTATTTTTTCAATTAACTTAGAAATCAAGGCAAACACTTTCTCATCCCTTGCTCTTTCTTGTTCAAGGCACTGAGCCTCTTGTCTCAGGCGTAGATTCTCTTGCTGGAACCGCTGATCCTCCTGCTGGAGGCGCTGGGCATCCAGCTCCTGCTGCTTCTTGCCAATGTTGTAATATTCGTCAAAATTTGGCCCTGGAAGTCTTCTTGTCTTTGGGTGGCTGACCACTTGTGGAGGGCTGACTCTCCTCCACATCTGCTGGCTTTGCTGAGGCCCTTCTCCTTTTCTGCCTCCTCTCTTTTTGTTTTGCTTCTGGCTGTCGTCTGCAGCCGCATTCTATTCAAGCACATCAGTGAGTTTTTGTAGCAAGTGGTCTCTTTCACTGACTTTTTCAGCTGTTCTTGATCTATAAAAAACAAGGTGAAATGAATGTACTCCTAAACCCTCAGTCTATTCAACTGATGATTAATAAAGCATTGTACTGGCAAATGAAGTATGTGTGTGTGTGTGTGTGTGTGTGTGTGTGTGTGTGTGTGTGTCCTGGTTAAGAACTTGGATTTCTGTTGTTCTGATGGTCTGAGGGTCAGTAACACCCTGGTCTCGATCTCCAGTAGCTATAGGGTCTTGGTTTGTTGGGTCTGTTGTTTTTGGCCTTGTACAACCGTTTTCCTTGCTCTGTAGGACTGGAAGTTATCTTCCTGGCTGCCAATGTTGGATTGAATTCTAGCACTTGATGCCTAAAATGCCCAACTTCCTTCAGATGAACATGTCCGCCTTCTGGAGTAATGGAGAATCTCCTCAGGAACGTATGTTTTAGCGCATCTGTCCATATCTCCTCAGTGCCTTGTGAGGCGGAGTGCCTGGTCTGGGGTGGTACAAGTGATTCTGACATTCTTTTTTCTTGTTACATACTGCTGTGTCTATTGTCTAATTAATAGAACCATCTTTCCCTCAATAATTGTTAAACTATAATCTAACTGAATAAAACCTACATATTCTAATGTGCCTAGGGTTTGTACAAATAAGGCAGCAAAGCTGTCAAGTGTACACGGACAAAAAGAAAATAATGTCAACTCACTGGTTGTCTGTGTGTTAATTGATTTATAAAACAAATGTATTTCATGAAGATACATTTGATTATCATGTACATGTAATGACTGTGCCATGTTTCCATTACATACATTACCTTCTCACTAGAGCCTGGAGTAGACCGTATTCTGTATACTTAATCCTCAGGTAACCCACATGCTGTGAGATTGGTCTCTTTCAGATCTGTTGCTATCAGCTCCTCTTTTGTCTTTAGATTTCTGTGATACACAATTTTAGCTGTAAATGTGAGCAGATGCATTGCTTATGTTGCTGAATTTGCATGGTTCTTAACATATGCCTTTCCATTCTAAAACATTCTAAAACCTGCTATTTCCTGGGTGTTGGCTATTTAGTCAAGGGTAAACTGCCAGTTAAAGCGAAAGTGAAAGGTGGTATGTTGAGAGACTTTTTTTCTCTAAGCTGGCTGCTAATAGCGAAGCCTTTGTCAGCCTTTACACTGTCTCCTTCTAGAAGGTCTAATATTCCACTTCCTGTGTGTCAGAGGTGCAGTGATCTGTGTCAGAGGTGCAGCTAGTAAACAAAGAAGAAATGAAGTTTGTCGAAAAATTTGGGGCAATACCATTGAGAGCTTTAAATGTATTATGGCTCTTGTAATTTGAGTATGTTTTGCTACTTAAAAACAAGGGATGTGTTGGCCCCCAACACAAAATACAACAAGTTGGCCCAGGTTATAATCTTTCTTCTCACAGTGCTTAAATGGCACTTGAATCAGTTGGCAAAATCTTGTTCATAGAGCCCAGCTTTTAATCTACACAAGAACATGAACAGTTCGTCAATTAGAAGCATATTACGTGGACGGCCCCTCAAACTTGGTCTTTCTGATGCTGCTTAATAAGCACTCTGCATGTTGTCTGCTGCTGGTTTTACAAATTCAAACAATAATCTAAATGTAGAACAAGTAAAACCTGTATAAAATATCATAATGGTATCGTCTGAACCAAATCTTTCAACCCCAAATGTCTCCAAAGATAGCTGCTGTTTCAGATTGGTATTTTCCTCTTGTAAGCTTGTAAGAGGAAATTGAATCAGAAATATAAAGTATATATACATAAGGCAAGAATGACAAATATATATATGGCCAGATCTTAACCATAAGTTTCCTCCCTTTTTCTTTTCATTTTTTTCTTCATAAATACCCCTTTGTCCCTTCCATTTTGACAAAGAAAGGTCTTTGTCTAGGTTGAAAGAGGACAATGTTGCAATTTTATGAAAAAGAAACAAATAATGTGAAATTGATCAATGAATTGATATTCACATTGGAGTAATAAATATTAAATTAAAACATCTATTAATCTAAATTTTCTCTAAATGAAAAGTGATGATATGACTAAAAAGTAATTAAGTACATGTGTATATATATAAGTTCCATAATCACTACACATCCATATTGATTATAGAACAACAAATAACCTAAAAAAATTCTTCCAGTCCTTCATCGCTTTCAACCAATCGTTAGCTCTTTGTAACGGAATATGCTTCTTCCCATCTAAATATTTCAATTTGTCCATTTCTAGACACATTGAATTATTTTCTGTTCTAGCATCCTTTACATCAAACATCTGCTCATCCCTCATTTTTCTTAAAAGCCTCATTTCCTTCTCAAATACCTATAAATTAATAAATATGTACCTCACCAAACTAATTCACACTCAAAAGAAGCCCTTATTTAACCTCTTCAATTTAATCCTATCACCAATTACACACCTGCAATAACAAATCGCAAACATTTTTCTTTCCAGTAATTACTGTTTCTACAAACAAAAATCTCTCTAACCTGATGAATTTCAACATAACTAATATCAACTAATAAAAAACACTCATACTGGCACCAAGAGTACTGGTTGAATCAGTGTGTTGTTAGAGATACTATAAATTTATACAGTCTTCAACAAATTTATATAAACCAAGGTCTTGGGCACTTCCTTTCTGCAGCTTCTGTCTGTATGAGCAGGTTTTCTTTGAGGACAGGTTCCTCCATGATCTACTGCATGAAAAACATCGCAATTACAAATGCTTGTGCATAGGGGACATCGTAAATTATATTTTCCCGTCGTCGACATTGGGCTGCGGAACAAGTTGGTGGTATGTCGAGATTTCCGTCGAAGTAAGCGTGTTCGAAGAGGGAGGGAGAAGCGACTTCATATCTACAGGCTCTTTAGCCCAGATTTTTTCCCTGAGGGTCTTGGGGACATGTTGGTCTAATAATGAATAGTAGCCCTTACCTTGAGAGCCCTGATCTTGAACCGAGCCGAGGAGGTGAGTGGTTAGCTGAAGCTGTGTTTGGTTAGAGGCAAGGTTACCCATGTAATCCTGAGAGGACGTAAGACCGGGATTAGAGAAGGAGTAACCCGTGTTACCCTGTGACGACGAGGTAGGCTGACAAACTTGTGGTTGGACTGAATTACCCATGTAACCCGAGTTACCCATGTAACCCTGTGGGAATGGAGGGTGGGTTGGAGCAGAGAAACCCATGTTACCCTGTCACAACGTGGAAGGCTGGTCGTGAGATTGCAGATGCACGGAGTTACCCATGCAACCCTGCACGGGAGGTAGCTAAGTCGGGGCAGAGTAACCCATGTTACTCGGCATTGACCTTACTGCTTCTAGATTCACGGTGTGCGAGGACGCTCGGCCGTGTAGGGAAACCTGGCTCTGGATAGGGTTACCCATGTAACCCTGTGAGGTTAGTTGATTGCTAGATGGTGGGCTGTTTATGACACCATGAGGAGCTTGACGCGAAGAAGTCGGGTTGCTATTGATTGTGCGTACATCAGAGGTCAGTGGTCCGCTACTAGGAATCGAGTTAAGGGCGTCGGCTCCCATCTTCTTCCTTCATAAGCCTGTTCTTTGTTTCTGTTACCATAATTTGCAAGAATTCTCTTCTTGGGACGCCATAATCAATGGCCTCCTCACCATGAAAAGCCACGTATAGGGGATAGCGTAGATTTTCTACTGTCAGCAATTGTTCAAGGCCATCCTCCCACACAGAATATCTGCTAACAAATATTTCTGTGTGGTCATAACTTGGGGTTTCCTCTGTATCTATTTTTTTTTTATGCCTGGGATGTGAACAGCTCGGAAGTTAATATTCTCCGTAAGGCAATGTAAAAAGTTTTCTAAGTAAGATCGTGATAGTATGGTCCTTGGATGTACATTTGTTCAATATAAAGGTCAGGGCCTCATTGTCGGCATAGAACTTCTTTCTTCTGCTTAATACAAATGAAACATATCCCATAACAAAAGACAGACAACACCAAGTAAACATTTTATAAATCGACTTCTTTTTAATATAATCATAATATAAACTTGTTATCTTGCAGTTCAAAATTTTTTAACATCAATTTTCTTTGTAAAAAAACCTTCATTAAAATACCTTATATGTATTATTTCTGTTATGTTAAAGGGATTCCCTTACCATAGTATGAAACATTTTCTTTTTAACACTGCCTTAAAAATTCGTTAAATTAATTTTAATTCAACTTTCCATGAATTAAGTTTCTGATTACAAATTTCCTACATATACATTTAAGTACAAAACTAAACTACATGCATCCAATATACCAGCCTATAAAGCAAATTTTTATGAGAACAAAATCCAATACATTTCATACTTAAGAACATAATATTCAAATTGACAACATGAAAACAATATTGAATCCATCTTAACATAGAAAACATTTTTATATATCCATTCTTCCACATTTCTTTTGTCACAATTGCCTCACAAAAAACCTTTTTGTTATAATACAAAAAGTCCATATCTTCTCCCATTTTCTTGAAACTTATTACCTTTTTAATTTCCAAAGGTGCCAAATAATTAAACAAACTTGTAATTTAACCACTCCTTTTTCCTCTACATGCCATAAATAATCATTCCTAAGAAACTCTGCTCCCATTACTAATGTCGTTGTCAACTTGAAGTAATTCCTACGTCACATACCTCTACCTGCAATCACTTTCAAATATAACTTCCTCTCCTTTGTCTTTTCCACCTCAAATCATGGGTTTTAACCACCACATATTACTAAGAAGAGACTTAACTCACTTACATACAAAAACTATTATTTGAACTAGTCCAACTCCTACCCTTTCAACTAAAATGAACATTTAACAAAAAATTACACCAAAAATTTACCATTAAAAAGATATACCATTAATGAATACTACCCCTCTTCCCTAAATAATACAAGAAATTTAATTAAATAAATAGAATAAGAAAAAAAACTTTCTAAGATAAAAAAATTCACCGTAAATAGTACCTGTCCCTCATATAATATAGTAAATTTAAACATTGTTTCCTGCTTATGGAATTTTGTATTTTATCTAAGCTTTCAATTAACATTTCTCAGGATTTTGAATACAAGGCTTCACATCCCCAAATATTAAAAAAAATGCACCCAAACAGGTACATCTTCTGTGCGGTAACAACCAAACACCTTTTCTCCAAGCTGCATCTTTACACATTATTTTGCTATACTTACTTCTGCTTCATTTTCTTCTAGCATTCCAAGGTAGTCTAAACAATATTTTTTTTTAAAAAAGAATAACAGATCTAAACATTTTTTTTTTCATTGCCCCTAAATTTCTAATTGCAATCTCTGCAGCACATTCTGAGTCTCTCATCTTTCCATATCTTAGACAAATGTTCTAAAACAAATGAGTCAACAGGTTTAGAACCTTCAAACTCTAACATTTTAACAGACTCTTCATAAGAATCATGTGGGGTCTCAACCCAATCATTTTCCTCCTCCATCAAGATGGCATACATATTTTGGCTTTCCATACCTGAACTTCTTTCGCCTGTGAAACTTAACTGAAATCTTCTGTCTCTACACAGCTTTTCAACTGCACACTCAAGAGCAACAAGAGATCTCCTTGGTCATGACCCTTTTATTAGTTCCGTTTCATCTACTGGTACATACCTATCATAAAATGGAAAAACTGTGTAGAGAGCAAATGTTATGTGTCCGCCTAGAAGTCCAGCTGATTGCACACTGAAGTCCGATAAGCCTGTGCTATCTCATGTGCTTTCGTAATGAACTTGATCGTGATGAAGTAGAATACTGCTGAGAAGCACATAAAAAGTCATCCTCAAGAAGGCTGACATCCCCATCTGTCCCCATCTGTCGTAGACCTGCCTACAAAGAAAATGCATTGGAAATTTAGACAAATTTGGTCTTGTATGGTGGCGGATCTCTGATCAATATATGAACATTTTCAGCCTACCCCTTTCAAAACACTTGCTGAGATTTTCCCTCATAGCCCTATGCTCCCAAATGAAGTCCCCAGGTCTTGTTCCAAAGCATAGAGCCGATGCATTAGCAGCTTCAAAAATACCACAGTCATTTCCGCCAGTTTGCTCCTGAACGTCTATATGCTCCATAATAATTTCCTTGGATGGAGCAAAAAGCAATAAGGCAACGATCTCGGCAATCTTTATACTAAGTCTAGGACTATGTCTGGAATCATAAACTTGAACACAATTGCTAATATTTATGTTATTTATGTTGGAAAGAGTAAGCCAAAGGAAGTTAAGATTAACTATCTGCACAAATGATGAAGTGGGGGATAGAAAAGAAATTACCACTTATAACAAACTCTTTGTCATCGTGCCTTGATTTGAAGAAAGCTCTGTTCTTAGTCTACTCAAATCATTTTTTGGAACCCATGTAAGACAGTGACAAGCTAACAAGGACAATGTCCTTGCATAATGCATCTGTATGCATACTAATTACCTTGCTGGCACCCGAGTCTCCCTGTTGAACGTCGGGGGGAAAAAAAAAGAAGAGGAACCAGTGGCTCAATGTGGTGCTGTACGATATGCAAAGGTCACTAGCTCTAGATATCTTTCCCAGTCATTCTGCCTCTCATTTGTGACTTTTGACAGTGATGCCTTGAGTGTTTGGTTAAACCGCTCATCTAAGCCATTTGTATGTGGGTGGTATGCAGCTGTGATCTTATGCTTGATACCCCACTCTTTCAGAAGGTAATCTATCAGCAACAGAAAAATATTGGATGTAAAAATGGGTAAATAAGTATTTGGACAATTAAATTTTTACATTGGGAGATGTTAAGCTTATCTTTCCAAATATCTGCCTCTATTGATTCAAAGAGCAAGGCTGCGTTCACATGAAAAATCTATTATCTAAAAATCTATTTGTGTTATCTTGTGATCACGGTTTGTGCCCTGAATACCCCGCAGCGTAATTACTGGCAGTGCCAAGAATTAATTATAGCTTCAGAAGTAACTGGCTCACACTGCCCATAATTACGCCGTGGGGTATTCAGGGCTCAGATCGTGAGTTTTTTGTTTTGCTTTCCATATTTTCTCACAATGTCATCAATGGGGCCATGTGCTCCTTGCAGATCTGCTTGCTCTGCCTTTGCTGCTAGTACATGCCCTGCCGTTTCCCAGTGGTATTTTATACTCATTTTTATGTACAGACACAGATGTATCTGTACATTTTGCCATCACCTGCGTCTGTCGTCGCCGGTCGCCGTCGCCATCGCCGTGCACTTTCATCGTTAACACGATAAGTGGAAGACAGTTTTACTTTTTGGCTGTATATTTACAGAGCTGTTGAATATTCATAAAACGCAGGTCAATTTCGAAAATCAGCATGTTTAGGCCATTATTGTAGAAGTTATGCTGTTTTTTTCACTTTTCAGCATATATGCAACACTGTAAACACATTTCAAGGAAAACCGATAGGCCTGTTGTCATGAAACTCACAGGAGTAATCGATCTTACTATAACACAGGTCAAGTCGTGTATTGTATAATAAAGTTTCAAAAATGGAAATAAACTCATATCATTGCAGTTTGTCATATTCAATCATTCACTATGTTCAGAATCTCAGAATGGAAGAAATTGGACATTTAATACTGCTCTATTAATATTTTTCCCATCTCATCAATTTCGTAGTTGATCATATAAAAACGGTAGTAAACTGTTAATTTTGTTTTATGTTAGAAATTGTTAAAACTGGGAAAAAAATTTCAGAACATTGCTGTCTTGTTTCCATTTTGGCATTTTCAAGTTGTGACTTTGAAGTTCCATGGGCCTGAAGACCTTTGCTAGTCACATTTTCTGAAAATCCATGATACGTATATTGTATTATTAAAAATTAACGATCATTATGCTGTTAACCATTTGCAATATGGCATCAGAATAGAAGAAAACACAATTTTGGGTGCTGCTGCCATGATGACCATTATGGGAAAACCATGTTACTTATGATTGCCAAACTTTCAAAAAAGAAATACAGGACTAAAATGCAGCCTGAGTTGGAAAAGCAGTCTAATTGGCTTCTTTTTCTGGAAGTTATACATTTTCAAAGTGTGAACTTGTTACACATTTTACTTACATTGGTATTACCTGTTGAGCATAATTAAAATTTGATGTTGAATTTGCAGTTTATCATAATGTACTTTTGCATCAGAATTGACAGTAGCCTATTTTGTGCATAGTTATTTCCTGTTTTTTGTCTGTACATTTGACAGCTTTGCTGCCTTGTTTAAATAATTAATTAACTTGATTTGATATGTTTGCAACAGGAAATGGTTACAATCATAGCAGCAGCTCTATCACTGGCAAAAGTGAAGAGGTTTTTTAGGTTAATGCAGTGTTTCAAGAAAGTGTTCTACACTCACCTTGTTTCAGTTTGATGTACTTGAATGTTTTAACATTGCAACTCTCCCACCACTAGTTGACCAGCAGGGTTGATGACCACTGCACTGGGAGCCCATTTGCAATGGGGACCATATCAAGGAAGTTTGTCTTAACTTTTACTTTACTATCTGTATACCTAAGATGCAAGTGTTATAGTTTTTGATAATCAAGACAATTCTTCATTTGATTTTCATGAAAGGCAGTCAGATTTCATTTTTATAATTAGTTGATAATATTTTGATCACAAGGGCTTATTCAAGTTATTTTAAACAGTTTTATCTTCACGGATTGCATAAACAGCATTATCAAGTCATTTTTCATAATTACATGACACTATGCCCAACTCCTGTGTGATGCTGATGTCTGTGGCCTCATCAACCATCACACTCCATGCTGGTGTGCCCCTTAGCTCTGTTACCAGGGGTTGTAAAAGGGACTTGTCTATCATTAATAATTCATCAATAATTTTGCAGCTGCAGAAATTGGTATTACTACCGACCTTTAAAAAATTGCTGTACTGATAATTAATAAAAATTATGAATTTATGAAATGATTAAATATGTTGAATATACATCTGAAAATGTTTATTTTTTCCCAAAACTTGTTTTGAAATTACCTTGCTTCAAAATAAGCCAGTATTTCTTACCATGTTGATGTATTTCTCTTGTAACTCGGTCATGGCTGCAATAAATCCAGCCTTTTCCATATTGGCTGATTTTCTGTCTGTCATTCTCTTATCAAGTGTATGGACTGTGAGGATCCCTTGGTGTAGTTTTCCATGAGTGTGTATGTGCAATACTGTGCACTATGTCCAGGTGTGTCATTTCTTCTATCACCTATAAAACAAAGATTATTGTTATACCTGAAAGGCTGTAATGGAACCGTCCTGACCTTCTTTTCTGGTAAGTTCCATCTACAGAAGCAGATATTGTGTTAAACTTGACCCCCAACTCTCCCACCACTAGTTGACCAGCAGGGTTGATGACCACTGCACTGGGAGCCCATTTGCAATGGGGACCATATCAAGGTAGTTTGTCTTAACTTTTACTTTACTATCTGTATACCTAAGATGCAAGTGTTATAGTTTTTGATAATCAAGACAATTCTTCATTTGATTTTCATGAAAGGCAGTCAGATTTCATTTTTATAATTAGTTGATAATATTTTGATCACAAGGGCTTATTCAAGTTATTTTAAACAGTTTTATCTTCACGGATTGCATAAACAGCATTATCAAGTCATTTTTCATAATTACATGACACTATGCCCAACTCCTGTGTGATGCTGATGCCTGTGGCCTCATCAACCATCACACTCCATGCTGGTGTGCCCCTTAGCTCTGTTACCAGGGGTTGTAAAAGGGACTTGTCTGTCAACTCAACCATTTCATCAATAATTTTGCAGCTGCAGTAATTGGTATTACTACCGACCTTTAAAAAATTGCTGTACTGATAATTAATAAAAATTATGAATTTATGAAATGATTAAATATGTTGAATATACATCTGAAAATGTTTATTTTTTCCCAAAACTTGTTTTGAAATTACCTTGCTTCAAAATAAGCCAGTATTTCTTACCATGTTGATGTATTTCTCTTGTAATTCGGTCATGGCTGCAATAAATCCAGCCTTTTCCATATTGGCTGATTTTCTGTCTGTCATTCTCTTATCAAGTGTATGGACTGTGAGGATCTTTTTGGTGTAGTTTTCCATGAGTGTGTATGTGCAATACTGTGCACTATGTCCAGGTGTGTCATTTCATCTATCACCTATAAAACAAAGATTATTGTTATACCTGAAAGGCTGTAATGGAACCGTCCTGACCTTCTTTTCTGGTAAGTTCCATCTACAGAAGCAGATATTGTGTTAAACTTGACCCCCAACTCTCCCACCACTAGTTCACCAGCAGGGTTGATGACCACTGCACTGGGAGCCCAATTTAAGATTGTTTAAAAACAATGCATTTATCACTGAATAATTACAGTTTTCTTAATCAACAAATGCTTCATTGCTTGTAGATGGTAGGAATCGGGCATTGCAGCATGGCAGTCACCTGTAATGAAAAGCATTCTGAACTTAATTCTACATATATTGTATGGGGCTTAAATTATTCCATGTTATCAGTTAGTTTATTTATAGGTTATAAATAGTACCCTACTGTAACATATATATATATGTACATGCCTGGTGTAACACACGTAGTGCTAAGAAAGGAATATAGAGTCTTGTTGGGGTGATTTAAGTTGTTATTCTTCTCTTTTGTCTATACCAGTTGTAAAATACTCCTCAACGATGACAGTTTTAACTGAAATAAAAAATTTAATTAATAAATAAATAAAATACTTAACTACTTTAATACAATAATTACAATGGGAATAATCTAGAATGCTGTAATTGAGAAATCTGCAATAGCACAATATGGCACAATTTAGGCACCCAACATCTTTGAGACAACTAGCACAATTTGTGCAACATGAGACAGCAGAGAAAGCATGAGGTGCATTATTCCTTCAGAATATCTAACTGAACATTAAACATGTTTTACTATAAAAATTCTACCACATAAGACAAGGTGTGTCATAAAAACCATTAAATTTCACAGCAAAGAACTAGTACAGTGTAGATAAATCAATCAAAATCATTGTGGGTCAAACTGCTTCTCAGTAAGCATTAAACTCAAAAACAAGCCAAAAACAACAATTCGCTTAACTAAGCGCATCTAAATTTCTCTTTAGTTACAAAAAATGACATTAAAAACAATTTTACTCACATTCCTGGTTGGACAGGGTTCTCAAAGGTTTACACCAGGTTTAAAAACTTCTAGGATTATGAAAACACGTTTTATTCCTCTCAAGAACAGACAAAGGAATGTGTTGTGCTAGGAAATTTAAGCCCCCTCCAGGAATGTCATTAAAAGACAATCAAGGGAAACTATTTGCTAGTTAATTCTTTCTGTCAGCTATAGGGGTCAGCACCTTGCAACCTACTTTGATTCAGCTAGCTAAATTTTGCCAGGTGTTACACCTGGTATTGTAACTTTTTATTCAACATATAAAAATACCTCTTTTTGTAACTTTTTCCTAGAGTGCATGTTCTGTTGAC